AGTTTAATAAATAGTTTAGGTTGGAGGAGATGCCGTGGCAGACCCAGAGATTACATCTCTCGACTGGCCTAGGAACACAGGAGGCGGCCGGTGAGGGGGAGAGCACCTTCACTGCTTAGGCTGCTTTCCCTGCCACCCAGCCCCAGATAACCGGAAGAAAATAGATAATTAATCATTTCTAAAATGAGTGACTGAGCTCATAAAATCAGCAGGAAAGCATTCACAGAGTTCCGTGTGAAGGACTGTTTCCCGTTTACTTTTCAGGACCAGATGTCTTTGCCTCCTGGTGGCCAATAAAAAGAATGCAGCGTGTATCTTTTATAACGTCTGTAGCTTCTTAACCTCTGAGCTAATGCTAGCTGGCTTGGTTAGCAGGTTACATCTATACAATGTACAGTCTACAGGAGCACATATGGAAATGACATTTTAAATTTCCTGCGAGTGGACCACCAGAGTCTCGACCTCCTGCGACCTCCCAAATTTTAATTAAATCCTCGAAGCTTCAGTTCTTCTCCTCCTTATCTTCCTCCTCCTCAGATTCAGCATCCAGGTGTGTGACTTCCACCTGCCTGAGTATTTCAGACGTCTGAGATGTGAGACTCTCATTCCACGAACTGAGTTTCTCTAGCTCTTTGGTGTCTCTGACATTGGAGGGTTTTTGTAAAAGCAACATAATACCTCAGGAGAGAACAAATATGTGACAGACTTATTCATTCACTTTGCACACGACATTTGTATGCTTATTTTATCACATCACCCGCTGAGCCCAAATTTTCATCCAGAGTAACCGAACATAATAATCATTGTTCCAGTGTAACCTCATTTAGCACATTTTCAAGATATTGCAGTGTAAGCGTACGTTTACAAAAGGTACGTCTGACCGCTTCCTTTCAGTCTGATTAACTGACACAGATGTAAGACCTCAGGCCTGCGGACCGCTCAGAAACCCCCTGAACCCACCCGGAGTGATTTTAATAATAATAATAATAATAATAGATTGATTGCATTTATATAGCGCTTTTCGGGACCCCTCAAAGCGCTTTACAATACCACTATTCATTCACTCTCACATTCA